TGGTCTATTTCTGGTCTATTCAGAGGGCATTTATCAGTAGGAATGTGCAATAAAAGGTTTAATAAGGTTTATAATGTAGTAATGTGGCTTTAGTTTTGTGGTATTTTCACTATACACATGATAAAATACCACTTTTAGCTGTTCTTCATGCATTTGCTGCATTGGGAAGTGAATTTATGACCATTTTACAGGAAATAACAAAATGTTTGGCAGCATTTATTTTTTAGCTGCATCAATGTCAGTTTTCTTCAGTAGTCTGTAGGAATACTACTACAAAAAATGTACTATAATTCCATTACTGGGCTAGGGGATGGTAGTCTGTAATACTTGTGGTTACTGCCTGCCTAATACTATTGAAATTTGTCACATATTTACATTAATTATCTAAGCAATGGACAGAGATTATTAATTGTCTTATACATTTAGAATATATAGAACTGTTAAAAACAATAGTACTAGTTTTAACTTTAAAAAGTTGTAGTTATTATTATTGTTTTATTTTTGAAATTTAATGAAAATCTTTAAATTTGCTGAGGGGGGCCGGAGCATGGACTGCTAAGTACGCCAGAATTCATCTTTTTAAAGCACAGTTACTAAATTTAACCTCTAAATTGTATTTTTTATTTGTGATTTATTGAAATGCCAGTGATTCATAAACCATTGTCCGTGCATGCATCAATTTTACTAAAATGGATAGCACTAAGAATGGTTATTGTTTTTTTACACTGTAAGATAAATTCATTGAAGGTGGGACTTTATCTTATATTTTGGTTCAGATTAGCACCAGGCAATAAACAATCCTTATTAAACTGTTTCAAACTATCCTCAGTCCAGTGATCTTTTCTAACTTGCTGCTAGTCAGTTGAGCTGATAAATCAAAGTGCTCCCTTTGTGTGTATTCTCTGGCATACAAGACTAAAAACATCTTTACAGGTTTAATTCTGGTTGTTATCATTACACATATATGCTTGCAAGTAATAGACTGACCACATGTGGACAGGAGACTAAAGTAAAGCTCCTGTTTTGCTTCCTTAGAATCTATACCATTTAGAGACATTCACAGAGTCTTAAATGCATTCCTTTTATGAATGTGTTCACATTAGTAAAAACTGAGATTCTCTGTGTACTTTAAATAGATGCCTGTTTGCAGAATCACCTGCTAAGTAGCAAATTAACATGCTTCTATAAACAGTTAGCTCAAAGAACTACCGTGTTGATGGTAATGCATCTGTTGTGATTCTCACTTTCTTTTGCAGATAAAAGGGGATTGCTTCATTCCCTTAACGACTCCATGCAAAACATTACATGTTATACCACTTGTAAAATCGTAAGGATTTTTAGCAGTCATTTGGTGCATTATATGATTTCAAGTTTCAAACGTGTTAATCTCCACCATCTGTTTTGATGAATTATGGATGCATTTTCTGGGCTCAGTTTTCTTGCTACTCTTTTGTCTCCAGTTTATTGCCATTCGTATGGCGTTTTCACTGCAAAAAAGGAAAGACACAGAAAAGAAATGGAAAAATAAGTGACTAAAAGAGCTGAAAAAAGGTTGGGAAACTTGCTTGCTGGTGTATAGGCCAGTTGTTATGCAGCATAGGTAAATAATCCCTTGGGTCAGACGTGACCGTTTACATTGGAGTCTTTTTTTAATTTTTGTTCACACATAAGGGTGTACATTGAAGAGGCACACCTAGCTTGTCAGGCGAGGAAGGTAAACAATGAAATTCAATAAAGGGTGAAAGGGAATATGTCCCATCACTGCCTTCCTGGTAGTCGCTCAAAAATCAGAATAATCCTGTGGCTCAGCAATTACAGACAGTGCGTAGGAGAAGTGAATTGTTACCTTGAACAAAGGGTGAGTTTACAGTTAAGTGGGGTCTCTTTAAATGGTTTTTAACTGCTGGTCCTGCTGTAAGGCAGCTGTCTGGGCTTGAATTGAGGGCAGGTCTGAAAGAGGCAGTTGAGGTAAATTTCCCATGGCCAGTTGGTGAATTTACATACAGGCCAACAGCCGAATCACTTGTGGCTTTTTATGTCATACTGTAGTTGTTTGTGGGGTTTGCCACTCTGTAACTGTAGGATGAGGCATTCATGTACACACCTGGATTCATATGAATATACGGTAGGTACATAAAAAGAAATTCCATTCTCCAAAAAAATAAAATAAAAAATGTGTGTGTTTTATTTTTAGCAGTGTTTTTAGGAGATGAAGGGGAGTCTTGTCAGTCTATAAGGCCTTCCTCTGTTTGTGTCTCTGACTCTTGCTGAGAGCTATGTATATTTCATAAGCCTAAGGTTCCTTTTTTTGTCTTAAGATATGATGCACCTCCACTGCCTGTCTCTCTACTGCTAGTCAGTAGGCCATCACAGACTTTTTTTTTTTTTTAATCTACCTCACTCTCTTCATCCTGACAGCCACCCTCTACATCCCCCTCTGCTTTTCATGGTCAGCTTGACTCCATCGTAATGTCTCATCCCGCTTTACTCTTTCAGCAGTGGAGCGAAGTGGAGTGGAGCACATCCAAAACGACTGCCTCAGCCTTCTCTCTGTGTCTCTCTCCATCTTTGATTCTGTCTGTCTGACTGACTGTTTTGCAGCCTTGTTACTTCAGGGAAGGGGCACTTTTTCACCCAGAGCTGCATCCCCCTTCAGTTGTTGTCTTTTTATAGCAGAAATCAGAGTGTTGTGACAGTAGCTAAAAATGGGAACACAGCTGACAAAATACATTTGCAATTAATGGCTATATTTGCAACAGCAGACTCTATTTACGGGGAGAGAGTTGTGTTTTTTTTTTCTTTTCTTCTTTTTTTTTACCGTAATAGCCTTAATATTTCAGCCCCAATAATGCTTGAAATTTACAGAAACTCAAATAGTTTATTCAGTGCAATTTAAACCCATTTAAACCCATTTTTCTTGCATTGCTAATGGCTTGCATTAATTTGTTTGAGTCACATCCCAAATGTTCATACACAATGTTGCAAAAACTTTTTTGCCACATTACAGATTGTTTTTGTAACAATTAAATGTTCAAATAATGATTTTAGCTAATGAAATAAATCGACCCAAACTAATTTTAAAATATAATCTGAGATTTATTTAATTATATGTTCCTTCAAAATGTTAGGTTGATTTGCATCTCCAAATTATCCTGAGGTTTGAGTGTGCTCATAAGAGATAGGCGTCATCTCCACCACGACCCACAGGAGAAGATGGATGGATTTCACTTAAATAGCCCAGATAAAAGGAATCTAATTGCAAAGATTTATTGGTTGTGTTTTAGCAAAAGCAAGACCTGTTTACTGTGACAACTACAGTATACAGTTTAGAAATGTCCTTATCTAAAGGAATTTGAGTTCACATTAGGAAAAAAGTATTGACATAAAACAGAAGACATTAAACTATCCTAAGAAAAACTCATCGAAATTACCTCATTAACATATTAGTGTTCATTCAGGAGGTCACAGATGAAGCCAGAACATCTAAAGCGCTGCAGCCCTCAATTTCCCGAGTTAGATTTGAAGGTCAACAAGAAAATTGACACATTTTTGGAGAAAACGAGTGGAAAGACTACTGCTAAACAAAAACTTTACTGCCTTCATTTTTGGACATAAATGTATAATTTATAGCATCTTACAAATCCATGCTGGTTACAGGAAATATTCTGCTGACTTGATTAACAAAAGCTAAACTTTATGGAATGTATGCTTTTTGTATCCGTCATGAAACCAACAGCATTTCAGAGAAAGAATCCTTTACTCACAGTGAAACATGGCGGTAGAAGTGTAATAGTCTTGGGTTTAACAGTCTACTCATTATAACTTTAATCAAATTATAAACTCAGTTGTCTGCCAAAGAGTCTCAGAGGAGAGTGCACATGTAACCCCCTTAATGACCAAACTAAACATAATTCAACATTTAAAGAAACTTTTTAAAGAATTTGCTTAAATCGGACTGAGATGGCATGGTACCTGAGAAGGTCAGTGTGGCTGAATTAAAGCAAATGTGCAACACAAAGTAGATCAAGATACCTTCTTAGAGAAAAAAAAGGCTTTCCAGTTGTCACTAGGTGTTGCTATCAAAGATGAGTTGTGAACCTAGGGACGGGTTGGTTTGGACAGTTTTTTTCTCTTAAGAAAAAAAAAACATGAAAAAACATATTTGGTTTTACTTATTCTTACTGTCTTTTGTTTTCTTTCCTTTTTTTCAGCGTTTTGTTGTCATTACACTGTCAAAACTACAGAGAAACAAAATGAAATCTCTTTATTTATCCCATCCCCTTGGGGGCCAGTGGGCTGCCATAGTGCGTCGCTCTGGTCTTTGCTCAGCGACCCAGAGTGGCAGTCTGTGGGAGTGGGGCTTATACTCAAAACCTCTGGACTCAAAGTGCAACGGCCTAACCACTAGGCTGCCACTCCCCTGTCTGACTTGAATCTTTGGTTGATGATACGATACATTACATACATACGATACCAAAAAGCAAAATAGATTTTTTGTCTAATAAAGTGATTGATAGTAAAAATAGTACAGCTGCTCATCAGTGTCTCTGTATTATTGGTTGACCATTGGCAGAAATAGACACCATTTAAAACCGAGAAGGGCATCGAACAGAAAGCTTTGGATTCAAAAAGCTGAATTTCAACTTTATTAGTTTACAGTTTATTAGCAAAAAAACAAAACAAAAAAAACATTGATTATGGGATGTGTAGTCTCTTAAAGTAGCAGAATATAAGACTACTAATCAACTTTACTACCATTTAAATGTTTAATGTAGCTAACATAATATCCTACAAAGCATGTTTACTTTATTACAATGACCTAAATAAACTGATCATAAGCAATGTGTTGTCTTGGATTAAATGATTTTTCTTTGGTATTTAGATATGATCATTTATATCTTATACAAGCAATAAGTTTACAGTTGATTTAAAGATGAAGGGAAAAAAGCCCCTCGGTATGGAATGACCCTTTTGATCATTTTTGTTTCTTTTTATTTCAGGCCAGTACTTTGATGGATAGCACTAGAGCCACTAAAGAAGCGGACTCAGGGTCTTCACAACCTGCAGGGGACCACCCTCCTTCGTGCCCTGTGACCTCAGAGCCGAGGAGAGGAGAGGGACAACTTTGCAGTAAGTGTTTTAGCCCCAAACGGCTGCTGTGCTTCACCAACCTTATCTTTGCTTTTCTGTTTTGATCTTGGGAGCTTTTCCAAACAAATTACTGATACATAAAACAAAAGAAAAAGCTCAAGGTATTATTGGCTGGCTATTTGGGGACGATGTGACACACATCAGAACTGTATTTGCCATAGAGTCACGATGCACACACTATGTGAATTTATTAATTAAATAACTGGCTGAGAGTCCATATGGACTGAACATTTTGATGCAGGTAAAGTTTTATCCACACTGATAATGAAGACATAAGGAGGTGTTATGGTTGAAATGTGTTTCTTAATCGCTAAGAGGGAGTAGGAAACTACCTTTTGGATTGGACAAAAAAAAAATCCTTAAGATTAATAATAATACTTTGCTGGCTAAGAAAAATAAAAATAATTTGAAATGTAACGTCAGTTGTAGTATATTGGAACGACTTTAAATTTTCTGGATTTTTTTATGATGTAATAAACTGATATCAAATGACTAACAGGCCAGACATCAGCCATAATCTGCATGTAATTGTTTAGGCTAAAGCGTTCTTAAAATAAAGATACTGTAGGATAATCTTAATTTTTGTAAATTAGCCAGCGACTTTCTTTTAAAGTCTGGATCAGGTTAGTTGGTCAACTTCAATTTGATCTACTGCTACACATGGCAACATCTGCTTACATCCAGTTAGTTCCTAAATCCATCTGTATTAAATTTTCTTTTTTGTCTTAACGGTATGTTTGGTATATTTTAGGCACTTCTTCAAATAAAACTATAACAGCTATGTTCTCCTCTCTGTTGATGCTGAATGTTCTCTTTTTATCCTCTCAGTTGTTTTTAAGGTGTGTTCCTTGTTGACTTAGCATGTTTAGTTTATTTGATCCAAAGTTGGGATTTTCCCAACATCCACCCTCACCCTCCATTCTGTACTGACCTCAGGCCTTGTAGAGATTTTACCATAATTCAAGGTAAGAGAGAAGTGCCTGGAGCCGTTTATCCATGTAGACCCAGACAGGTCGATAAGAGGTGAAACTGCATGATTCGGACCTAAAGCAGAGCACACATCTACCTCATGTGACCCTATTGTCTGGTGTTAGTGAGGTTGGATGTTCCTAAGTATGTTCTTAAGATGTTCTCATTATTAAAGGGGAACGCCACCCAAAGGAGTTTTGTGTCATTTGGAGTTGTTCTGAAGATATTCCGTTGAAGATATACTTGGATATAACCTAACCGAATATCTTCAGAACGGCTCCAAATGACACAAAACTCCTATGGGTGAGTAGAACATGATGTAATAACCTAAAATCAAGGGCCCAATGTAAAAAAAAAAACGGCGTTCCCCTTTAAGTATTGCAGTTTTGAGTGCTCATTTTCTGGTATACTGATATAACTTTGATATGTATTGTGTGGCTGAGAATGAATGTTTCATTTACTTTCTGCCTGTTTATTTTTTTGTAGTTTATTAGTACCAAGTACATAGTAGCGGATTGATAGTAAATTAGATTATTTTTAATTACATGGTAGCTGATTTTCATGTTTGTGTCAGATTTGTAAAAGCTGGTAGGTTTTTCCCTTTACTGTGTATCATTGTTATTCTTAAGACAAAGAACCTACAACAGAAGCATTTTCATTTGCTTTACACCATGGTGTTTAATGCTGTCTTGGTAGAATCTGTCTATATTTTTTTGTAATAATTTTGAAACATTTTTCTATTCGGCTATGCTGAGCAATTTTAGTTCTAACCACCATGAAGGGTTATATTTAGACAAAAAAAAAGAATATACTTCCCCTAATTTAGGCATTTCTTGACTATTGTGTGGCAACACAAAACTGTATCAGTCCTCAAAAAGAATTTAGGCCTGAAAACCTTATGCACTTTAAAACAATGTCTCTTTTGAGGTTGTATCTAGTCTTGTGCTGTCATGTTAGCTTTTAATGGCCGGTTAACCGGACTCAACCAATGCTATATATTTCAAAACTACCTGGTACTTCCTCAAAGAAAAAAACCCTATGCTAAGTCAATATTTTACACACATCATGAATCTCATTCACTTCCTGCTCTGTGACTCAGGATGATATGGTAGGGATTTGCCTGTAGTTTGCTTTGCAAATATCTGGGGCTCTGGTTGTTCTAACTACCCTTTGACTACATTGTTAAAAAAGCAACTGCTCTAAATTGTTACCAATGCAAACCTGCAAATAGTAAAATATTGCTTGTCCATACAATGCCCTGTCAGACTCCATCAAGCTCTGGTTTTGATCAGTTAAAGATCAGAATAACAGATTTTTGGTGTTTAACAGAAAGCCTTATTTGATGTAATATTCATCTAAGCTTTAGCATGAGTGAACCATATTGCTTTTTTCATGTTTAAACACGAGGTTCTTTGTATCTAATACATTTTTGCATGAAGGAACTTCTAAATCCAGTGGATTTTCATATCCACAGGAGCAGAATATCTGCTCCTATCAGAGATACTAGATGGGTCATATTCTTTCTCATATTCTCTCTCTTTTGTGTGAAGTTTTAATTCCTTTTCTCCCCCATTTAGTTTTCACTTTGCTGCTCCAACTCTTGTATGCACCACTCTTATGTTCAGGCCTCATCTTCTCTTTTCTCTAAGGCTATTTCTGTTTAGCCATGAGGGCCCCCCTGTCATTTACAGAAACTCATCTCAGCTCCCTTTCCAGCAGTTCCCTCACATGTACTCGCACACACGCACACAAACACATGCAGACCAACCCACACACATAGGGGCAGTCTTGCACAACCACGAAGATGCTTGATTAAACAGTCATGACAAAGGGGCCACCCCACATTAACAGACACACAGGCATAACACTGAACGATCTTCCCAGTGGTCCATTGTGGATTTGAAATGGGTTTTTCATGAGTTATTTAACTGTTCTCCATCATGAATGTTGCGCTGCAGCTCCCACCGACATGACACGGCCCATTTCCTCCGCTGAGGCGAGAAACGTGGCATAAAGCATAGCTGTGGAGTTTGCACGAATTGAAATAAAGAAGTACAGCATCAAAGATGTGTAGGGTTATATCATTTAGTCTGTGCATACTGAACCTTAAAGTCAATTATCATGTCTGATATATGTTGAAAAGTAAAAATGTTTTTGGCCAAAATGACTTGACACATTTTTTGTCATTTGTGAGGTTTTTGCATCATGAAGACAGAAACAGATTTTCTAAGCATCTCTGCATTAAGTTAAAAAATTCCCATCATTCCCATTTCTATTTATTTAAAAATAAAGCTAGACTCTGCTGACTTCACAAATAACTTGTACTCAGTGGGGTATTTATGAGGAACTCCTGTAAATTGTGTAACTTAACTTGGAACCAATGTGGCAGCAACTCATTAAGACATCAGTAGGCGGGGACAGCATCATGCTAAATATTTCACACCCAGTAGAAAAATTGGGAAGATATATATATATATATATAATGTTTTTCTAATAATAGCTTTAATTTGCTCATATTCAAAGAATTTATTTTTGTTAATGCCATATTGCAAATGTAATCTAAAAGACTCAAAACAAAAAAAAAAAAAATCAACCCTATCCCTCTTTTAAAAAGATAGAGGAGGACCTAGAAAGATTGAAATCGCTTCTGATCTCCCTTATAGGTAGGGTTGCCTCAATTAAAATGATGGTCTTACCCAGAATTAACTACCTATTTTCAATGATCCCAAATAAACCATCACTACTGGTTTAAATCTCTAGATTCTTCCATTTCTACATTTCTTTGGAAGGACAAACCCCCTCGTATCAGCTTAAAGACACAACAGAAAACTAAAGACAGAGGGGGACTAGATTTACCTAACTTCCAACACTACTACTTAGCAAATAGATTACAATACATCTCTAAATGGATAAAATATAATCCCTTAGATGAGCCCTGGATAGACACAGAACAGGAAATATGCAGTAATATCATAATTTCAGATTTGCCGTTTATTAGCTCTAATATCAAGCGGCACTCATGTTTTAAAAATATTAACATCAGCTCTTCCCTGACAGCATGATGGGAATTTCTTAAAATAACGAAGTCATCACTTATCCCGTGCAGTCGTACACCCATCTGGAATAACCCTGACATTCTACAAAACAATAATATGATAAACTTTCCGTACTGGAAGAATTAAGGTATTACCTATCTGGATCATTTATTTGAAGGTACGGAGTTTATCACATTTGCTAGATTAAATTTGCAATATGGGAAGAAATATATTTTAGGAGATTTGTAGAACTGACCCCGCATCCTGTCTGCCTCTGGGAGATATTTTAGCTTTTTGGCTTTTTAGCATCAACTGGGCATCAATTAAACACCACAGCCTGACCAAGTATTGTTGCTTGTCACTACCTCATCCGTACAATCAGCTCATTTGCTCATGTGCAACCAGATATACATCCGGGTTGGCCTTGATTTTATTTAGTAAAAAAAGACCTAAATTACGTTTTCTCCTCCCCAAAAGTATTAAGCATACTAAAGTATAATGTGTTAAAGGTTAATAATGTATTTCTTGAGAAAATCAATGCCTTAAAATCCTTTCTGTTTTATCATTTGTCTGTGCCCGATCTGTACTGGAAATGGGATCCTACTCAACTTCCGGGAGCTAACTTTCTCAGCTTTGGATTTAAACATGAATCTAGTCTTTTTGAGTTTTATGTTTTCCCTTCATGTTAACCTTATAGTATATAAAGTAGTGGGTAACATAAAGAAAGAGACAACTAAAATGCAGATAAATATGTTTTAATCATATTCTGCCGAACTGATTTGAGCATGTCCAATGATGACGTTTGATGTATGTTGAAACTGTAACTATACAGTCATATGTTTACATCACTTTTTTTGCACCACAGTGTTGTTTTCATCACAATGTTTTTATCACTGCTGCTTACCTTTATCAAGGCTGCACTTTAAAAAATGAAAAAGTCTAGAGAGTTGTACTTAACGTAATTTCTTTTTGTAA